GATAGAGAGAGTGAGGTCGATGGAGAGATAGAGAGAGTGAGGTCGATGGAGAGATAGAGAGAGTGAGGTCGATGGAGAGATAGAGAGAGTGAGGTCGATGGAGAGACAGAGAGAGTGAGGTCGATGGAGAGATAGAGAGAGTGAGGTCGATGGAGTGATASAGTGAGATCGAACGAGATCAAGAGATCGAGAGAGATGGATAAAGAGAGAGATCAATCGAGAGAGAGAGATCAAGAGAGATTGTGAGAGATCGAGAGAGAAAGATCGAGAGTGAGATCGAGAGAGAGAGATCGATAGAGATCGAGAGATAGAGAGAGATAGAGATATAGAGATAGAGAGAGTTTGAGAGAGATGGAGACTGATCAATGAAGAGAGAGAATGATCAAGAGTGATAGAGAGATAGAGAGAGATCGAGAAAGAGAGAGATTGAGAGAGAGATTGAGAGAGAGATAGAGAGGGAGAGAGATTGAGAGAGAGAAATATAGAGACAGAGAGAGATCGAGAGAGATCAAGAGATTGGGAGCTCGAGAGAGATCAACAGATTGAGAGAGAGAGATCGAGAGAGAGAGATTGAAAGAGAGAGACAGATCGAGAAAGAGAGAGAGAGATCGAGAGAGAGAGAGATTGAGAGAGAGAGATATCAAGAGAGAGTGATCGAAAGAAATAGAGAGAGATCGAGAGAGATCGAGAGATCGAGAGAGAGAGAGATTGGGAGATAGAGAGAGAGATTGAGAGAGATTTATAGAGAGAAAGATCAAGAGAACAAGAGATCGAGAGAAATATTTAGAGAGAGATTGAGTGAGAGATTGAGTAAGAGATAGATAGAGATATCGAGAGAGAGAACGAGAGAGAGAGACCAAAAGAGATTGAGAGAGAGATCGAGAGAGATTGAGCGAGAGATAGAGAGAGAGATTGAGAGAGAGATCGAGAGAGATCGAGAGAACAAGAGAGATAAAGAGAGAGAGAGAGATTGAGAGAGAGAGATCGAGAGAGATCGAGAGAACGAGAGAGAGATAAAGAGAGAGACAGAGAGAGAGATCAAGAGAGAGAGAGATCGAGAGAGACCGAGAGAGTGATACAGAGAGAGAGATCGAGAGAGAGATATCGAGAGAGAGAGAAAGGTCGATGGAGAGATAGAGAGAGTGAGATCGAGAGAGATCAAGAGATTGAGAGAGATGTATAAAGAGAGAGATCAATCGAGGGAGAGAGATCAATYGAGGGAGAGAGATCAAGAGAGATTGTGAGAGATCGAGAGAGAAAGATCGAGAGAGAGATCGAGAGAGAGAGATCGATAGAGAGAGATCGAGAGATAGAGAGAGATAGAGATAGAGAGAGATTGAGAGAGATGGAGACTGATCAATGGAGAGAGAGACCGATCGAGAGAGAGAGAGAGAGATCGAGAGAGAGATCGAGAAAGAGAGAGAGAGATTGAGAGAGAGATCGAGAGGGAGAGAGATTGAGAGAGAGACATTGAGAGAGAGAAATATAGAGACAGAGAGAGATAGAGAGAGATCAAGAGATTGAGAGATCGAGAGAGATCAACAGATTGAGAGAGAGAGATCGAGAGAGAGAGATTGAAAGAGAGAGACAGATCGAGAAAGAGAGAGAGAGAGCTGGAGAGAGAGAGATATCGAGAGAGAGTGATCGAAAGAGATCGAGAGAGATCGAGAGAGATCGAGAGATAGAGAGAGAGACCGAAAAATCTAGAGATAGAGATAGAGAGAGAGAGATCGACAGAGATCGAGAAACATTGTGAGATCGAGAGAGAGAGATTGAGAGATAGAGAGAGAGATTGAGAGAGATATATATAGAGAGAGATCAAGAGATC